TTAATATTTCATATTTTAGTTTATAAGAATATTTGATAATTGATTTTCTTGTTCCAAAATTCTTTGCGGAACTTTTGAATCTAGTCTATCCTTCTATTACTTATTTTGTTGAATCTTCCAAAATTGCAGAATATATGATATATAAAATTTCTGCATATAGATTTTTTCTTGTTTGCCTTAACTGGTTTCGTTAGCAATTGGTGGTTCTGAACTTCTGATCGTAATAATGATTATTTAAAAATAAAAACATTTAGGATGTGAAACTATGATTTTATATATATTCATGCTCTACTGCACATGACCTTACTCTCAGATGTATAAAACATGCTTGCATCTTATCTGTGGCTCGATTCACTTTAACAATAAATGTTAACAATTTGCTTTTTTCAGTTGCCTCTTAATTCAATCACGTCAATAATTGATGGCTTGAAGAGATTGTACGTTGAGAGGCTGAAGCCATTGGAAGTCACTTATCGTTTTAATGATTTTGAATCCCCCTTGTTGGTAAGTGGCATTTGCCTATAAGCGCAAGATGCTAAGTTTTGCTAGTTGGAAACTCCGACCAAATTACTGTTCTAACCTCCTGATGATAACACGATAATACTAAGTTTGCGGGTATTTTTTTATGTCATTTTCAGACCAACAGTGATTTCGATGCTAAACCCATGGTCATGCTTCTTGGTCAATATTCCACCGGAAAAACAACATTCATAAAGCATTTGTTAAGATGTGATTATCCAGGTTGCTTAACTTTGCATGATCTTAAAAGAAGATTCTTTGAGTTCTTTCAATAATTCTATTACATAAAATTACTATATTAATGTACTTTTTACTTCTTGTTCAGGAGCACACATTGGACCCGAGCCAACAACTGACAGATTTGTTGTTGTCATGGTATAACAAGCATCTTATGTTCTTCCATTACCTTCAGAAGTTTTTTTTTTTTTTAAAAAGTGCAAATTGAAAAATAGGTTTCCATGGAAGCTCTCTTATTTGGTGAATGGGATACTGTCAATTTGTCTTACCGCTTTTCCTTGATCCATTTGCATATGTCTGAATTTATGTCTTTATATGATGATTAAAACAATATCTTTTAATTTATAGTCGGGACCTGATGAGAGGAGTATTCCTGGAAATACCATAGCTGTTGATGCTGATATGCCTTTTAGTGGTTTGACAAAATTTGGAGGATCATTCTTATCAAAGTTCCAATGTTCTCAGTTGCCACACCCAGTGAGTTTCTTAGATTCTCTGAATCATATTGTAGTCTTAAGTTCTGAAAATTTGCTATTTGTTTGTGGCTTAAGCAATTTTTTTTACTTTCAGCTTTTAGATGAAATCACATTTGTGGACACTCCTGGTGTCCTATCTGGAGAGAAACAAAGGACTCAACGAAGTTATGATTTCACTGGTGTTATATCCTGGTTTGCTGCAAAATGTGATCTCATTCTTCTCCTATTCGATCCGCATAAACTTGATATCAGTGACGAATTTAAACGTGTAATTGCATCTTTACGTGGCCACGATGACAAGATTCGTGTGGTTTTGAATAAAGCAGATCAGGTCGATACTCAACAAGTAAGGCGATAGTTATCGGCAGCTTAACTCAGTTTGATTGGATCAGGTCTTATTAATATATCGTGTCTAAATTTGAGCATTGCATTTTAATATTGTAGCTCATGAGAGTTTATGGAGCATTGATGTGGTCTTTGGGGAAAGTCTTGAATACCCCGGAAGTTATGCGTGTTTACATTGGGTAAGTTTTTTATTACTTATTAGATGTTTAATAATGGTGACATTTTAGTAGAAATTGTGTTGATGGTATATTCAGATGCTTCTCAAATTTGATTTCTTGTCATCTCGATGTGTCCTCTAATTATTTAATGTCGTTTTGCTGTATAAGAATTTCACTTTTTTCCCCCGTTTTATAGTTCATTCAATGATAAGCCCATAAATGAAGGCTTCGTTGGCCCATTGGGAGCAGAACTCTTTGAGAAGGAACAAAATGATCTGCTTGCGGACTTGGTTGACGTCCCGAAAAAAGCTTGTGATCGTCGGGTACGTATGACACCGTTTTTATTAGACTAGATAACCTGATCCTTCATACGTTTATAGTTGTCAGGTATTACTTTCACTTGAGGATCTGAATCTGATTCGATATGGAATTGGAATGTAATGCAGATCAACGAATTTGTAAAACGTGCTAGAGCTGCTAAAATCCATGCATATATTATTAGCCACCTTAAAAAGGAGATGCCTGCAATGATGGGCAAAGCCAAGGCTCAACAAAGGCTTATTGATAATCTTGAAGATGAATTTGGAAAGGTCTGTGCTGTGCCTGTACTTTCATTTCTATCCCTTGATTCAATTGCGTAATTACTTATTATCTATCTTTTTACTGAGCAGGTGCAAAGGGAGTTTCACCTACCTGCTGGTGATTTTCCCAACGTGGAGCACTTCAGAGAGGTTTTGAATGGATACAGCATTGACAAATTTGAGAAACTTAAGCCTAAAATGATACAAGCTGTAGATGACATGCTTGGATATGAGATTCCCGAGCTTTTGAAGAAGTTCAGAAACCCTTATGATTGAATAGCGAGGAGCTGAGAAATTTTGCGGCGTCATCTGTGGCCTTTTCTGGTTCGTCATTTTACTGTTTGGATTTAATCTTAGCATGCAACCCACAGATGGGTAAATGTGAACAATGAATGGTTGGATTCATTTATGTTAAATTGTTAATGATCTAATGCCCATACTGAGTATCATGATTGTTTCACAGATTATTATTTAGTGGTAATAAATTTGTCAATAATTTGTATTATCTTTGCAGAATTACCTTTTCGACATGTAAACCGGTTATTCTCTTTATTGACTAGAAAAAAAGGTGGAGTAATATTAATAATGTGGCGGACATAGAGTCTTGCACTGAGTGTAGGATCGAAAGAAACTTCTCACAAGATTATTATAAAATAGTGAACAACCTTGATTTTTATTTTTGAAGGGAAGATCTAATCAAATAAACATACATAAATTTTAAATGAGTTTCTTATAAAATAAATAATCTATAAAAGAATTACCTGCCTTAATTTAATTGAAGATAAATACCTAAAAGTATTTGAAGCTACGCATATAATTTTTTTCCTTTTATTAAACAAAATAACCTCTTTAAAATTACTCTTGTACAAGGATGGATAAGCGTTAGTGACTAATTGTCCTAGTAACAATAAAATCCTTTGAATGCAACATTGAAATGTTTGTGTGGGTGTGTATCTCTTTTTTATGGAAAAGGGCTAGTATACGGTAAATTTTTTTGTAAAAAAAAAAAACATGGGCAAGCTCGATTCTCTGAATCATTTTAAGATAAATTAAATGAGGATATTTGTTATGATGTCCTATGAATACAATAGGAAATAAAATAAAATAAATTAAATGAGTGCTTCACATCAATATCGACTGTATGGCCAAATATAGGGTTCAGTTTTGGCATGCATCGCTTGTTAAGCATCTGGACCTTCCCAATGAAAAATTTGGGTAGTCTAGATTTATAGATTTATTTTTTATTTTTATTTTATGTTATTTAAAAATTATAAAATTTTAATGAATCTATTTAATCATAAATTTAAACAATACATATTTGATTTGGATGATTCAATTTAGTTTTAATTTTTTAATTTTTTATAAATTAATTATCCAAATGTACTCTGGATAGACGGGATTCAAAGTACATTTGAATAGTTAATTTATAATTTTTAAAAAAATTAATACTCTCTCTATTAAAGGGTTGGATGTTAAAAAATAAAATATTTTTAGTCTTCCAATGTATAATTATTATTTTTTAAAAAGCGCCCCTATTGAATATTTATTTTAGGATGAAACACCCTATTAAATAAAGGATAAATATAAAAAGATAGATTTGATTTAAAAATAAATAATTTTTTATTAAGGGTAAGATTCGAGTAAAAATAACTTATATTTTTTAACGAAAAGAGTATTAAATTAAACCATCATCTCGGATCTGCATATCCAAATTGATGATAAAGTAGATTTATTAAAATTCTATATTTTTATTTTAATAAAAATAAAATAAAATATAAAATAAAATTGATAAATCTGGACTATTTAGATTAAAATTCTGGACAGGCTAGATTGCTCATTAGGCATCACATGATGAGCACTGAAACTCAACGCGCTACATATATGCTGAAACTTAATAAATGCATTTTGAAATTGACATAAATAAATATATATTATAAAAAATGTCAATAATAATCACAAGATACGCCATTTCAAAAACATTTGAATAAAAATGTCAATACTTTTAAAGTCTAAACTAACACCAAAGAGGTTACACTAATAATTACTCCTCATTTTAAAAATGTAATATTTTTAAGTGAATTTCACTTTAGTAAAATAATCAATTATTTTTAAATTAATATTATTTTTTCATATTTATTTTATTTAATAAGATGTATTAATTTAAAATAAATATAAAATAATTTATTTATTATAGATATTTTTGGTAAAAAAAAACATGATGATCACATTTTAAAATACTTAAAATATCTTACATTTTTTAACATTTAACTCTTCAAAAAATATTTTATATTTTTAAATGAAAGGGCATAAAACATTATTTCAAAAACATTGAATAACCAACTAAAGTTGATGTAAACCACAAAACTTCTCGTCACTTAAATAAACAATTAAAGTTCAATTACCGACTCTCGAAGTAATCTCAGCTGCCAAAAGAACATACTCCTTACTACTATTAAAAAAACGTCTGAATATCGCAGTCCAAACTAAATAAAGCAAATCAGGACCCTTTTTTATGTCATAAATAACACAATTCAAGAAAAGAAATAAATTTGTAATATAAAACAAATCAATATGTACATCAATAAATATTATAATAATAACTCAACCGAAAAAAATATTATAATAATAGGGTCTCTCGTTCTACTGTCGGAAATAATATGATAATAACACTAGCAAACTCACACTTAACCATTAACATTTTTACTTTTATTAGCACCAACAGTACATAGAAGCAAGAATTAACAGAAGAAACACGAGAGCTGCTTATAATATTTACATGAGAAGGGCATAAAGAAAATGAGCATCTTTTCCAAGCTACTTGCAGAGCGGATCTGAACGGAATTCCATAAGCATCTTTTTACATCATATGGATCACATGATATTATCCTCATTAGTATTCTTCAATCGTCATTGCATCTTCCAACCCAATTTACAATAACTCCAGGAAGCGTTTCTGAAACTCGGATTCTGGAACAAAGCGTTTCTCCAGATTCTGTCATTTCAGCATGGTGACCAAGCAAGCAAGCAGAAGGCGAGGAGAGTTTCTAGACAGGAATTACGTCGGCGTCTTGATTATCGTCACATGTGACAACCAGACCATCCACATACATGGGCAGAAGACAGCGGACCCACTGACAACCTGTGGACACGGGCTCTGGTGATGGAACAATCATGAGCACATTATCGTGCCGACGAACTACTCCCATCACACTCACGGTGCTCCCTTCTTTGATGTACCTACAATTTCCCAATTTTCCATTTTAAGTATCACAGAGCAATCAATAATCATACATGAATCAATGAACTAGAGATTCAATACATAGCATAAAAACTGAGTCAACTCGCCCAGTAGAACTAGAAAACTGTTAAACTAGGATTTGACTGGTTTAATGAAATGCTTTGTTTGTCTAATTTGATATGGTTTGGACTACAGTTTTAATCATTAACCTTTGAATCAATGCCTTGACCGGTTTGGGTTTTAGTACCTTAATAGTATGATGCAAAGTTATAAAAATATGACCATGTTTGACATTTTTCAGAACATAGTTGCAACACCATGAAAACTTTAGCGTTTAGATTTTCGAAGGTCATTGCAAAGGAGCTTATGGAAATTATGGTCACAAAATGGTATACTCCGTACCCTTCCTTGAGGCGCATTATGCGGTCATCACTAGAGAGTTTACGGTCCGTGAGCCAGCTTAAGAAATTTGGAGATAATTCCCTGTTCTCCTTTGTTACGTCAACTACAGTGGCTGGTTTCACAAAAGGAGCTACCTTGGCACCATAGCCTGCTTTCACTAATGCCCTTAACCCAGACTGGAAATCCGATATGTAGAAGTCCGCCACATATTTCTGCTCATAAAAACAATAAATTTACAGTTATTGGGTACGAAAAACCGACCTGCCACATATATTGGATCAGGAAGTGGGCGCGCGCGCGCCCGAGGTAGCAGTTTCTTCAAATATGGGAGTTCTCAAGTACTGAAAAACACACCAAAACTTACGATTCTCTGAGTTCGCTGATAAAGAGGTGTAACACGAGTAAGCAGTACTCGGGTACATTAATGAATGGAAACTACTGTGCTATCAAAGTGGACATACCATTTCAGACAGGTAACAGAACACAGTAAAATATGGAATAAACGAAGTCAAATGTAACTTTAAAAATTCCGGCTGTCAGGGGCAGTTAAAATGACAGATGATTTTACCTTATGGTTTTTAGTATGACCATCCTATAGCATATTTCTTGATTACAAATTTAGGACAAGAAATAAATTGTCTTAATAAAGTAGAACAGTTAGGTAACAAGTTAAACTATGCAGGGCGCCAATTCAGACCTTGTTGGGGCCAAGAAATGTCTCATAATCAGCTTTGCGTTGGAACTAAAGTGACATGTACTCTTGGACTGGTGAAGTACCTGATTCTCCATGGGCATTAACAGTGACTTGAGCTCCAAGCTATTCGTAATCTTTTTTAGTGATCTAAGAAAATCTTTCCCACAAACAATTTAGTATTCGTTAAACATCTCTCGCTATTGTAAATTTGAGGTACCAAAGCAATATAGTGATGCTCTGGTGCAACTGGTTCTTATGGCCTACTCTGGTGTTTGTGACATGGGATTTTAATTTATTCAGTTGTAAGCATCCTAAATAGCATAATAATATTGATTGTATGTTGGTTTATGTCACAGACTCAAGGTGAAATGTTCTATTAACAGGTTTTGAAGTGCTTGAGAAACAATATATCTATGTGCCAAATGCCTTGGTTGAGTTTTATCATCATTCTTGGATCCAAAATCAGTTCACATAAAGCATCAATTAAGTAGTTCAATATACAAACCTCAGAATATCTAGAACCCCAAGTGAAACAGCGGTGTTTAGGATTTGCTGATTTTCCTCCCCACCCCCTGTATTCATATAATTCTGTTGAGACATATACACATCTTGTTACCTTTTGGTAAGAAGATTCCAAAGGAATACTGCCACAGGTTACGACCTGCATGAAGAGAAAAGAGGCATATGATAAAAATATGTACTAGAAAGGCACAATTTTTGTCCTTCTGAAGACATTTAAATTTAAATTGCATTGACTTGAATAGCTTTGATATCAATGAAGGATATAAGACACAATTACGCAAAGCTTTAGATGCTTCAGCAAAGAACAAAATTTCATTTTAAAAGAAAAGAAAGCAAGGAAAAAAAGAGAAAAATTGCTATTTCAGTATTGGACATGAAAATCCAAACATCAGACAATTCTGTTTCAGTTTTGCCTTCTTTATAGGAAACAAAGGCATCAAAGGAAGGCATGTAACCCTCCCAAAAAGTTAATAGAACAAGTAAAAACACTAAACAAACATTAGGCAAAACAGCTTTTCATCCCCTTTGCAAATCCACAGAGAAAACTCGCTGGGGAAAAAACAATTGTGCCAGTATACAGGATGATAAAGTACTAGGTGAGTTATAGTGAACACTCTCAGTGAGCATAACAAAACCAATGAAGAACATAACAACTTGACAAAATCAATATATCCCCAAAGTCCAGCAGATAAATTTGCTTAGCAGCTTGCTGAAGGTGTTGAGGCAATGCCAGCTACAAACCTTCAGTTGGTAAAAGAGACAAAAAAGGTACAGAATAATGCAGCAAAAACGAATACTCAAAAGTTTTCCAATTATGTGACTTCGACTGCCCTAAATTCCGGAAGGCTTCCATTCATGGAGTCAAGGTTAAGATTCAATTACTTTAATGCATTGCAATTGCAAAGAAACGTTTCCTCTAGAGAATTCTGTCCATTAACCCTTCAAGAAGCAAGTATCTGGTCCATCCTGACCCTACCTCGTAAATGCATCTTAACCTCCCCACCCCCAGAAAACAAAAAAGCAAAAAAATCTATGCTGAATTCATGTATATAACCAAACCTTCCGGCATTATTTTTGTTGTCCCTTTTTCTTTTTTCCTTTTTTATTTTTCCCCTTCTTCTACGGAAGTGCAAGACAGCAATTGCAATTGTAGAAAACGAAAAAAAGAATACCAGTTTGCGATTAGAACCCTAGTAAACTATAAACCCCATAGAGAACCATTCAATATTAGAATAATCTCAAAGAGGGAGTCGCTATCATTATTATATGTCCATCCGTCATACAGCATTCAAACCCATACCTAACAAATGAATTTACAAATATATATATATATATATATATATTATACACCACCTCTCCACTATTTAAAAAGGAAAAAAAAAATCATCTTAGATAATTGCAAGCTGAATAGAATAAGGGCACAACTGATTACCAAACACCACCGTTAAGCATTATCGAGTCATTGTCTGAAGAAAAGAAATGCTTGGGTTAATGCTAGTGCTAGGCCAACAATATGATGAAAGTATTAGCAATAAGCACAGATGAAATTACCCCGGTGACCTTCACGTACTGTCCATCAATTGCGCCCCTAAGCTCAGCATCAGGATACCGTTTTACAAACCCTAAGAGCCCTCGTCTTCCCCAAGCGCAGTTCCAAACAAACAAAACCAGAACCGGCACGGCAATTCCCCCAAGAGCCACCAGAATCGCCGCTTTCTTCACCGCCACCATCAAAAACACCCCACAAGCAGGCCCATTGCAACCAACACCATGAATACCCACACAATCGCTTTAGAAAGTCTGAACCCGACATTCAATTCGTCGTTCAAGCTCGTCACGGCGGCGCCGTAAATCGTCTTGCCGACCGAACCTGCTTGTTCCAGGTGACCCGACCTCCTCCCGCCACCCGACGAACCCAAGGGGCCGGATCCTGCTGGACCCGAGGTGATGAGAACTGTGGGCTGAAGCGGAATCGGGCCGGACGACTTCTTTGGCATCGGACCCGAACCGCTGTGCCTTCCAATTGGACCGGAGCTGGATGCGGATCGCACTTGTCCACTGCTATGCTGAGAAGACGAAGAGGGACGCGAAGGTTTCAGAGGTGGGGCATTCGAGGAGGGAATATCGAACATTTTGCCAAGCTCGCCGGATTTCTGGGGGTCACCGCCGGTGTATGGAACGGCGCGGGAGGCCATTGTGGGTTGGCGCTCCTTGAGCTGCTCGGGTGGACCCGAGACGTACAGCCCACTACTGAGCTGGTGCGAAGGGGTACGGGTCCCCATTTCTCACAGAAGGAGGGAGAGAAGCTGCAGAACGAAAGGATGAAGAAGCTCCTCACTTCTCCTATACTATACAATTTGTGTGACTTACTGTGAGTGTTTCAGAGTGAGTAAGTGGCGCGTGGTGATGGCGGAAGAGGGGGTGCCAGTAGAGAGAGAAAGGGGGGAGTAAGAAGAAGGAGAAGAGTGGGGAATTTCTTTGGAATTGCGGAAATGGGATTGAGATTCCTGATAATGACACCTGTATCCTTGTCTCTCACAGTGGCAGTTTTGCTTAATTGAGCTTCGTTTGCTTTGGAGATCATTTATTTGAGCTTTCTCAGCCTAAATTAGATTTGGAAAAACGTTGGTGAGGGCCCCCGTAGATTAAATTTAATTTCAGGCAAAACTTTTAAAATTTCATCATACATGTGGAAAATTAAAATAAAATTAAAGAGTTAACTAAAAATATAAAATAATTTTATTATTTTTAAGAACTAGACGCATGATAACTCATGTAGAGAAATTAATAATTAATATATAAAAAATAAAAAACTAATATTAAAATTCACAACTCTCATTAATATCATTATAAATTTACAACCCTCACTCCACATAAATCAATTATTCATTTGTTATGTGTCAATTATTATTATTTTTATATGAATTGTTCATATACATAACTTTATTTGTTTATATTCATAATAATATTATGATATTAATGAGAGTTATAAATTCTACCCATATCATTTGTTCATTTTTTATATATCAATTATTATTATTTTTACATAAATTGTTCATGTATCTAGTTTTAGAAAGAATAATAAAATTATTTTAGTCAACTATTTAGTTTTATTTTAATTTTTCATATATACAATGAAATTTCATAATTTCATGGGCTTGGTTGAAATTAAATTTAATTAAGAGGGTTACTAAAACTTTCCCATTAGATTTTTTGCTTTCCTCTTCTAAAATATTGTTTGCCGCGTCTGTCATCTGAAAAGTGGGAGAATATCAATGAAGGATGATTAAAATAGTTTAATATTAGACAAGAACTTATATACATTGGACACTTGTTTAAACTTAAACTTTTATTTATTAATTATCAATATTTACTTATCATAACTCCTTATATGATATTAAATTATTTCTGAGATCATTCCTTGATATTCCCTATTAAGCATAACTTGTACAGACAAATAATAATAATAATAATAATAATAGAAATAAATAAATTGGAGAATGGAAAATGACAATTAGAAACCCTTTAAAGCTATTAATTATAATAAAAAATCATAAATTATTGAAATCTCAACAATAAACCATGATCCTTACTTGAAATTAAAAATGTGCATGAGTTTACAAAATTAACCTCCACTTGAAAAATAAATAAATAATGTTACTAAAAATACTATCATAAGATGAGAATACTGTTAATCTCAATTGAGAGATTAAGAGACAATAGTTCAAAATAAATTATTTTTCAACATGAAATTAAAATTCACTTATTATATATTCAGGATACTTGTGAATATATAATAGTCACTTGAAAATTTATTATGGCCACTTCTTAGGAACATTTTAAACTATTTATATTTTTTAATTTTAAATAAAAATTATGATTTATTATTAAGATTTTAATAATTTAATATCCTTAATTGTAATTAATGGCTTTTAGAGAATCCAACTATCATTTTCCCTTCAGAGGGAAAGTTTGTGCCTTCATATTCCAGGCAAAAATAGATCATGTTAATTTCCAAGGCTGGAAGCCTAGAATGTGTTTGATTACACACAATATGTTAATATGATACTCCAATGATGGATCTAGGGAGCGACTAGATTAGTGAGAGGGTTCGTAATTTTCATAAGAACAAGATCCTCATTTGGTGTAACTCAAGTTTTTGTTGGTTTAGACAGAGGTGGATTCTGATCTTTTTTGCTCCATCCATGCCGTTTCCATTTTTGGCCTTTTTAATTCCTTTTTTAAGAGCAAGGAAACAAAGCAACTATCTCGAGCCATTTGCTCATTTCTGATTTCTGCTCCTCAGCAATGCAGCAAAACAAAACACATTTGTAAGTACAAGGCTACGAAAAACTGCAAAGAAACACTATCAAGTTATACTAGACTTGCAAAGTTTTTGTATCCTAGTAGCATGTGGTTAATTATAGTAATATTTAAGTTGTCACAACTTGTGATATCTTGCGAGCAAATAAATCAGCGCATCTACCTATTTATTCATATGAACATGTGGTCAAAGATGAATAATTATGCATTACCCAATCATGATGATAATGTGACAAGTGTTTTCGAATAATGACTCTCCCTAGTTATCCTTTCTTTTTCCCGATCAAAGCTTCGTCGCTTTTATCTTTTTATAACACGTGTCAAATTGAAAACAGTTTGATTAATCCAGTGAAATGATATTGCCAGCAGCATCTCTCTCATGGAGCATTGGATCCTATCCTCTCACCGCATGCCCTTTTTTTTAAATTTGTGGGTAAAATACTAATCAAGGACCTGTAAATAAAAAAAAAAATTCCTGAAAGACTAAAATAAAAATAAATTTGAAAATAAAATGGCCATAATGTTCTTACTTTTTTTAGAAAAAGAAAAAAGTTGCCTCTACTATCATCTACACCGACTATTGAACTGACAAAGACTATTTATTAAAATTAATGACAATTTTTATGAATAATTGGTAAAAAGTGATTGAGGAATTTGATTTCATGATCTCTTAATCATCTAAAAAATTTGGTGACCATCAAGATCATTTAATCAGCATATATAACTAAAGAGAATATATTTTTTTTGATCTTATTTAAAAGACAAAAAAATTTAATCATATTCATAAATTAGCTCATTAAATTTTTATTGTAAATTTTTTTATTTGACCTTCATTGAATATTAGAGAGAGAAAATGTGGTGTTAAAGTATGAATATTAAATAAGAGTAAAGTTAAGAAATTATTAAATTTCTAAATAGCGTTAATAAATTTTAAAATTTTTCTTGATTACGTTGAAACATATTAAAAATATCTTATAAATAAAATTAAAAAATATATAATAACTTAGCTCATACAAGTATTAATTTTTTATTTTTGTACAAAGTCACTTCGCCGTTATCCTTCAAGCACTTATTGACTTTGAAATTTTGACCGTTTTGCACCCCTTGGAATCCTACATGGCATATTTTAAAAAATTAAAAGTTAACAAGAAAAAGGAAAAACAAATCCACGTTAGAAATCAGAACGCCAACCTCATCACCATTCACCAGGACACATGGGTGATCGTAACTTAGAAGTCAGAATGGCATCCTCGTTCCTCTAAAATTTCCACTGGCGTCAAACCAAATCTCCGTCCTACCTTCTCCTTTGATCACGACAGTCTGCTCCAGTGCTCCTCAACATACCCATTCATCTGAATCTGTCCCTCCTATCGGCTCTTTTGATTCTGCTCTTTATCTCAAGCCTCCCACACAAACCGCCCACTACGATGAGCAATTCTTGAGGGGGAAGACGACGAGTAGGAGAAGCGAGTGATTGAGATGGGTCTGAGCTTGGGTACCCTGATGCGACACAGCCACCACCGCCAACTGGCTTTGGGTTTTTCGTTTTACGGGTACAAATGGAGATTGCAGAACCCTGACAGCGGTGGGTTGCTTGCACCAGCAACAAATTTGGGTTGGAGTAGCAATAAGGAATGGTGGATTGAACTTTAATCCACTTTGATTCTTTTTTTCTTTTCCTATCTCAACTTGTTGAAATTTCTGAATATCTTGGTTCTGTGATTTTTGGGTGTGGGGGAGAGGGGGACTGTGGATGCGAGTTCTGATTTTTTTCTTCTTTTCATATAATCTATTTACTTATAGCTTTTTTCTTGTTTGGTGTAAGAGAACCGGTTTTGTGGAACCATACTGGATGGTCGATAACTTGTTTTGCTCGAGTCAAGAAGGGTGCTCCAAAAAGGAGCAAGAGATGTTTGCTTATGATGGGGAGGGAGAGCTGGATTTGTCTCTCTTTAGCTTGCTGTCGATAGGGTTTTTGAATTCTTTCTTGAGTTTGAGCTGTTTTGATGGATTAGTTTATAGAGAGAATTATCAGCACTATATTTATATGTAGGCAGAGAGTAGGCTAATGAAGGTAGGATGAGTTTTTTTAAAAAAATAAAAAACCACGAGATTAACCCATGTAAACAGACAATCTAGGTTTCATTTGCATACAGAATATTTATACAATTGGAAGGTAGATTATAAAAAATCTAAACATTAAAATTATTGATAGATACTAAGTGAGCCATCTAATCAGAGCATTTATTAACTTTTCTAAAAACGTGATCAAAAGTGATCATTCAATCCTTTATAATAAGTTTTATGATGTTATTGATAACAACAGCAAATTATACTAATTATTTTAAGTGTGACGGGATTTGAGGGGTGTCGTTCTTCTGGGTTTCGTTCTTAGAGAAGTAGAGGAAAAGAAGATATGGATTTGTTTTTCCTTTTTAAAACATGTCATGTGGCATTCAAAATGAACAAAACAGCCAAAGTTTCAAATTTAGCAATCAAGTGGTCATATTGTAGCAAAATAAAAAATGTTAGGATAAAATCACACCATAAAATATTTAAAAATATTAAGTGTGTCTGAATGGAAACATTGAGGTTAAATTTGTACTTTAACTTTTGCATTTATTACTTGTGAGCAATTTCTCAAACTTTTAAACTTATATCTAATTATTTGATAATTTTGCAAATTCTAAAAAATTAGATTTTACAACCTTTTTTTTTTATATGCCACCTTTTATTACATAACTCTTTTTTACAAGAAAATGTGACAAAATAGGCATCACGCCCACACATTATCTCTAAACCATTTGAGCTTAGAACCCACAACTTCTAAAGAAATGTGAATGTCATTGAGCTAAGAGGCTCTTTTTTACTTGCTTATGCCCTAATTTAGAATGTTTCATCTGTATTTGTATGAAATTTAAGAAGAATGATACGGTTGATAAATAACCCATAAATAATGCACCTTGTTATTTGATTACGTTGATATTTTGTCCCAACTTTTTTACTCTTTCATGCTGCTTCTCCTCATAAGTTTCAAGATAAGCAAAGAATGGAGCCATGTTGAAACGCAACAATCACTAGAATATCAATTCAAAGGAGGAAAAAAAAAAGGAAATAAGGTGTTATAACTAATCGAACCCTGCACATCGTATTTTGTGTGAGAAATAAGTCGTACTGTTTATTGATTATAGTTATATGTAATACATTTTATTAGAAAAGAAATG